GATCGCTTGAACTTAGCAGGTCAAGACCAGCAGGAGAAAGAGCAAGACCCTGTCTCTAAAAATAGTGGGGTGTTGTGGCAGGCACCTGTAGTCCCAGATTCTTGGGAGGCTGTGGCAAGAGGATCACTTGCGCCCAAAAGTTTGAGGTTGCTGTGAATTATGACACCACAGCATTCTACCAAGACTGATAAAGTAAGACTGTCTTCACAAAAATAAATAAAGGTGTTTGCTTTGGGAATAGAAGCCCATGCGGTGAGCCTCAGCAGGACAGACACAACTGGAAGGCACCTGGACCCCTTTGTTTTCCCTTCTGGGAAATTTCAACAGGTTGAAGCATCCAGAAGCATGTCCTCCTACCCACATCTTACTCCAAAAGCTGTGAAGAATGATTTGAGACAACTCCCGCACGTCTGACCCCAGCCTCATGGGCAGCTCCTGTCTCACACCGCCCCAACAGCCATGCCCAGCCAGCATCTGCTCTTGGGATCTTTCTCCCAGGGGGCATCCAGTGTGTGTTCACTGATGCACACAGCACAGGCAGCCCTGCCCCGCCTGCTGGCAATAAACGCTGAAGAGGGACTCACAGATAATTAAACCTCAGTGATTTTTCTTGTCCACTATATTCTGGCTCAATGCAAGGAATCATTTTCCAACAGCTAAAATGTCCCACAAAAAGATGAAATGGCCACTTCGGGTGATGGAATGCCTCAACCATCATTTAAGGAGTTACCTTGGGGGAGATTCTGGCCTTAGCTGAGGAACTGCACTGGCTGACCACAAATACCCACTTCCAGCCCTGATGCTCTCTGATTCTACAAGGGTCCTGTGGTCCTTGTACCACAGTGATGAGGATAATGAAAGTTGAGCCAGTTTGGGGAAGCATCTATGACTCAAGGGCAGGAATTGGGAGACTTTTTCTGTAAAGAGCCAGATGGCACAAATGTGTTCTCCATTGTAATTAGTCAATTCTGTCCTTGTAGCCTGAAATCTGCTGTCGACAGTTGTAAATAAATAAGTGCAGGTATTAACCAATAAAACTTCATTTACCAAACAAGTGGCAGCGGGACTAAAGTCTCAAGTAAGTGACATCCTAGGCCATAAGAAGAGATTTAATAGATCTTGAGAAACCGAGGAAGAAGGTCTACCAAGTTAGGATTGGGTTCAATTAGTGAAAAGGGAAAACAAGGACTTTTAGAAGTCAAGAAGCAGAGTGGGGATGGAGTCGAATTATACATGTAAAGCCGGTGGAGAACACAGGAAACCATAACAGACCACGGAATGCCCCCTCTTCACAAACGGATACAGAGTAAAATAGATAATAATGGGACAGCGGTAAAAGAAGTATGTGGTTGCTGGGGAATATGATCTGTTGGGTTCCATTTGCTCTGTTGTTTCTTAGAATCTTAAGTTGGTTTTGGGGTGTGGGTCGTACAGCAGAGTGCTTAAACTGACAGGCTTCAGGCGGAAATCTGCGTCGTGGATAAACTTAACGTTTCTAAAGCCTTGGTTTCCTTATCCATAAAATGCTAATAATGGTACTGTCAAAGCAGTGTCTCAGATAAAATTGCGTGGGAACATTTATCCACATTTTCTTTCAAGCTTATTGGAAGGGGAAAGACTTCCAAAAATCTAGTTCAAAGATTTTCTTTGAGGAGAAAAACAAAAGTGACTTAAGGAACGCCACTCAAGTAGAGCTTAAAAAGAGGAATGTCTGGTTTAAAGATTGTTAGGACAGCCTAAGGCTTGAAGAGCACTGTACCTCTGAATGTCTGGTTAAAGGTTATTGGACACATCCAAAGAATAACAGTTAGCAAAGTGGAGCTAGTCTAACTTCCCAGAAGGATTCGAAATCTCATTAAAGTCTATCAGAAAATACTCCAGTGCTTTGTCAGGAATGCAAGATCTTTCCCAAAGGGGCTGAAAATCATGTCAGCCCTCAAAGTTCTGCCCAGCTGAGGTTTGGGGTGATCTCCTTTCATAGGAACGATGGCACAGGGCTGGTGTGAGGATTAAATGAAAAGTCAACAACAGCTAACATAACCGGGTGTTTCATCTTGTGCCAGGACAGGTGGTGAGCTCTTTACATCTGGTATGAAGTCATGCGATTCGCCAGTTAAAACCCCCCAGTGGCTTTGCATTGCATAGAACAAAACACATTTCTGATTCTTGTTTTGAAAGCCCTGTGTCTACTTCCATCTGCTACCACGCTACCCCTTGCTCAGTAACCCCCAGTTGCAAAGACCTTATTTCTATTCCTCAAATATACCAGGCTGATTCCTGCCCCCGGACCTTAGCGCCTGCTGTACTCCCTGCCAGGATGCCCCTTGTTTTCTGATGGCTTCAAGGTGACAATCAGACCTCAGAAAGATCTACCCCAACTTGCAAGCTACTGGTCATCTGTATCATATCTCTCTGCTTAATCTTCTACAGGGTACTCACCTCTGATACTCTATTCATGCGTTTGTTTGTTGACCAGTTGTTCCCCAGAAGAATGGAAGCATTGTTTTAAAAAAGGGTAGGGGGGCTTTGTTGGTCTGTTGCCTTCACCTGCCCTCCCTCCCATCTCTAGACCAGTGCCTGGCACATAACAGGAGCCCAGAATATACTTGAGGAATGCATGTGACAAGGGACACTAAAAAAGAGGCTTCAAGGGGGGTGTGAGGAAAGCCTGGCCTGCTGCACCAGGAACTCTGGAGGGCCCATAAGAATAAGGTTACTAAGTAACCTAGGCAACCGATGACCAATAGAAAGGGATCATAGATGACCAATAGGAAAGGGCAATACTGCCTTGAGGTGCAGAGAAGCCAATGAAAGCCTTGCAGCCCATTTCGAACAGAGAATATTTATACTGCCGAGAGCTTTGCGTCATCTCTCGGTTGCTCACCTTTTCTCTTTCATGAGAAGTACTCGTTTCCAACTCTCTTTGGAAGTATCTAAACTTTCCTTAACAAAATTTCTCTTTGTTACAGTGAACCCGGTGCAGGTTTCTTTCATTTTCTATCCACACTGCCTGTGCTGCTCCAGTTGTATGTTCAGTTTCCACTGAGGCAAGGGAATCCATTGAGCCCGAGAGTTTGAGGTAGCTGTGACCTAAGACTCCACCGCACTCAACCATGGGTGACAAAGTGAAACTCTGTCTCAAAAAAAAAAAAAAAGAATTAAATGATATCGCTACACCAAAACCCCATTCTCAGGCACAGTACCTCATATGCTCATATGAACAAGGTTTTTCAGGACATACAGCTATAAAAATTAAAAATAGAAATAGAATTGATGCTCAATCTTTCTCCTTCTAGACATTTACCCAGACGTACATGAATTTTAAAAAGCAACGTCCATTTTACTCATGCAATTTCTAATAAAATTACACTCTATCTAATAATTATGAAAATTTGCAACATTTATGTTGCTTTGTGTACTAATAATAACCTTAAGGATAACATGGTCTAAAGTCAAGCAATTTGCTAACTGTGTAACCTTGCACAATTTACTCTCTCTGGACCTTAATACCCCGATCTGCAAATTGGGGCCAATAGTCAGAGGTAGTTTAGTGTTTTTCCAAAGACTAAAAGTAAATATATGCAAAAAAAAAAAAAAATCGATAGTTTAAACTTGGTGTGCCAGGCCCTGAGTAAGCAGAGGCTTCCTGCATCACTCCCCAGCTCCCATTTATTCTCTGTAACACTTTTACTTGCTAAGGCGTTACTTGAAGTTACAAAAAATACAACAGTGAAATTGAAAAGTGCATGGACTGCCATTTAACTAGAATTGTACACTGCATTTATAAAGCTGTTTTATAACACAGTAAATCTGTGTAACAGTGATGTTTGCCTTTGTTTTTATTTGCTTTTAATTAGTGCATTTCAATATTAATATCAAGTCAATACACAGTTTATGGTATGGTATGGCATAGTGTGGGGTATAGCATTAGTCAGGCCTATTTTTAACAGTAATTCTCAAGTAACCAGTAGCTACATGTATCTAGAACCTAGCAATCCCCAAGGGAGATGACTGTAAGTGTAAAAATGTGACACCTGTGAAATCGCCGTGCCTGACACACATTGCACGATGCTATCTGAGCTGGGCCTGCAATGATGTAGCACTCAACAGCAACGCCCTTCAGACTAAAAGCCTGGGACTGGAGGCAGCGAGGTCTAGCCCGGGGCACTCTGAGAGTGAAAGGCATGCCTAAGGGGGAACTGGAGGTGGGCAGAGACACTGTTGGGCCCTGGAGCTACCTGCTGGGAAGCGAGCCCGACAGGATCCCAGACCCAGGACAAAGTGGGCTGGGAAGTTGAGCATAAGCAGCCCCACCTACGGTCACATCAAAAACGGCCATAGATCTCGACTGCTCAGTGAAACAGGAGCAAAGAGGCTAAAATGCCCTCGCGCATGGAACCCGGTCTGCTCCAAGCAGGCACCCGGAGGCCCCAGAGCCCCAGGACTCGCGTGGGTAGAACTCCCCACCGCCTTGCACGCCAGCCCCGGGCCAGCGGCCGCAGCTTCGCAACCCGCGGCGGGCTGAGCTTCCCGCCGCCGCCACTTCCGGCGCAGCCCGGCCTCCCGGGGGCGCCCGCGCCCGGCGGCGGCCGGAAATGACCCCTCGCGGCCCCCGTCGTCGGGTTTGGTTGCTATTGTCACCGCCTTTTCCTCCCTTCCCCCGGTTCCCTTTCACTTCCGGGGTTGCTCTGGATCCTCTGGTTCCGTAACAACATCCCGTTGGCTTCCCTCAGGCAGCCGGACCAGTGCAGCCGCCTCCTCCCAGGAGCGCCCGCTCGCGCGGGCCCGCGCCCTCCCCGGCTCAGGCCGCCATGGCCACCAACCCGCAGCCGCAGCC